GGGAAAGAGAATTGATTCTTATTGATACAGTTGGGATCATGTCAGGTATGACTTCTTTTTTTATTGGTTTGGTTGGGGGGAGGCTGTTGTTTGGTTTTATTTTGCATGAGCTTGCACTTTCTTCAACAACAGCTGTACTTCTGTTAATGTCAGGAAACTGAAGTATCTGTTCGTTTTAAAAAATAGACATAAAAATTGTCCCAGAGAATGAAAAACACATGAAGAGGGTGATCTGTTTAAAGAGAAGGGTAGTGCATAGTCCAGAATTTGTTGGTTCGTAAGTTCTGTTTTGTAAAATGCAGTCAGCTCGTGGGACTTAGAGTGTAATGATTTCAACTTTTTAATCACTCTAACACCTAACTTGAAAAAAGCCCAAATATTAAATTTTTTAAATACAGTTTTAGGGGTCATAGTGTGTAACTTGTTTATATAGCTGCAGAGGGAATGAGTGAGTTGATAATGCAGTCCACATAAAAGTCCACATAAAAGAGTACTGGCCTCTTGTGGGGAGAAACAAAGACTCCACCCTCGCCCCCTTCCTCTGGAAACATAGCATGTTTGGCAGGAAAGAAAGGCATAACTTCTCTGTGTATTATATCCAAGCCGGCAGACCTTGCCAAACTTTGATGTTTTTAAAGCTGGCACAGTAGAAAGGTATAAAGCTCACCTCCAGGGGTTTGATTCTCCCAGAAAAACTTTCCTTCTTGGTAGTGCACTGTTGCAGTGCAGCTCTGTGTCATTTGTCTTTGTAAATTGCAGTGCTATGCTCTAAACTTCAGTTTAAATTATTTGTATACATTTTTCAGTTTACAAATGGTTCAACAATAAGTAGTGCCTAAAACTATTGGCTCTTTTTTGTATCTTTGTTCTTACTATAGTGAGCATCCTGTAATATTATAATTATGAGGTTTTCTGGTATTATTGGTTTTATTTGCTTTTTACAAAGTTTTATATTTTAAAATTAATTTTACTTTCCATATGAAAATAATAATATTAAATTCTCAGATCTGTTACTGATGTAGCATAGTCTGATCCAAGGTGTTAAAAATGTGTCCAAATTTTGCATCTTGTATACTACTTTGAAAAGTTTGAATTAATTGTTGCTTCTTTGAGGTAGTGCTTATTAAGATGTTACCATGGAAGAATTTTATTAGAATAATGCAGTAAATTAGTTAGGTACAGAGACTAAACATACATCCAGTTAGGCTAAAAAGTGATCCAGAAATATAAGCCTAGGAAGCTAAGGGAAAGTAATGAGTTCGTTTCTTGACAGAATATCCAAAACAGTAGCCTAATTTTTTTAGAGCTAACTGGAAAAAGGAGGCATATATATATATATATATATGAATGATGCATTTTATACCCAAAGGTGGTTGTTACCCAAAAATTTTGGGGAAGTCTAAACCAAAAATTAATTTTAGAGTTAATACCTTGCTGAGAACTGTCTGTGTTTCTGTTGCCTTGACATGTGTCAGCAGATCTGTAGTAATAAGAGTCTTGATTAATCCTGCTTGTTAGGGACTGAGCAGGTTATGCTCGTATTCCTGGAACTACAGTTCTTTTGCAGTGCTAGGTGTGTTGCAGAATGAAGAAGAAAGGAAGAGGGTAGATCAGTTATTAAATACGTGTGATGAATAGTAGAGTTGCAGATTACGTATCTTAATTCTGTTTTAGACTGGAATAACGAATATGCTGTGCAGATCTCTTACCACTGAGAAAACAAGGAGAAGATTTCTGTTCATCTGCCCCTTCCAGAGCTTTTTTACAAACTGTATCATTGCTGGCTAATACTTGGCCTGAAGAAGAGCAGGGATTTATATACCTTAAGGAAAACAATACTACGTCTTTACATTACATTCATGTTAGCAAGAATGTAATCACAACCATAAGTAGGCGCAAATTATTTTCCTTTTTGAAAACATTCAGGCTTCATTTAAGCTTGCTAGTCACTTGTGTAGCATAGAAATATATATATATATATATATTCGATTATAATGGTAGGGAGGCTTGTTGAATTGAATGGTGATGACAAGTCAGAGAATGGAAGATGCTTGCAAATCAGACATGGAAGTAAAGACTGGCTTTATTTTATGAAACTATATAAACATTGGGGAATTGCATATAGTTCAATGACAGAATTGTTTAAATGTAAAATTACGAAAAGATGATCAAGATGAATCTGTCAAATAAAAGTACAGAGACAAGAGCACAAATTCATAGAAAAGAGGGCACATAATACAGTGGAAGATATACTCTGGTGCTGTCTCTGAAAAAGGATAAGGTGTACTATAAATATAAATACGTGACCGGGAATCCTGTATCTAGAAGACTGGTTCTTTGTTAAAGTTTCTCCCTGAGTCTGCATATAGAGAAGAAAAGTACCTTAGGAAGTACAAGGAACTTGTTGAATGAGACTGCTTTTGGATATCTGTTTCATAGCGCTAACAGATACAGTGTTCTCATGTAATTACATTTTTTTGAAACTCCTCATTCAGGGAGTTGCTTCAGCAGTGATTCTTCAGCTCTAATAGTCAGCAACATGGAAGAAGAAAAGATTGTTAGTAAAAACTCCTAAGGATCTCCTGAGCTCCTTGTTTGATACCCAGACTTGCTGTTGGAGTGTGAAATTCTCCAGAACTCTGTTTTTGTATATGAGGAAATGCAAGAGGAAAGCTTGAATATGTTTTTGTTCTGTAACTGAATGCTTTTCTTTCACAGAAATACAAACATACAGTGAATGTACAAATTACATGTCATACTGCTATCTGGAGTATAAATGTAACGTAC